AAACAGACCAGGCAGGTGATCCAGGATCAGGCAATGCGGTAAAGCCGGACTTCCGATTAAAAAAGGATTGAAAACAGAAAGCAAGAGAAGAAAAGGTTAGGGTCGAGGTGAGAATGGTTTATTGGTAAAGAGTGGAAAAGCCCATGAGGCTCTCCAATTAGTGTAAACAGCACCATTAGGTCAGCCGAACCAATGGAAGTGATGTCTCAGAAGTCCAAATGAATTCAGTGAATACGAGGCCGACTAAGCGGTATTGGATTAATCGGCGCTTTGGGACTAGGTTGTACAATGCAGATAAGAAAGAGGCTATAACAATAATGAGGGTACCAGTCTATAAGTCCCTCAGAGTAGGGGTAATAGAGTTAACTCTGCGGCGCCAATACCGTTTAAGGCTCGGCAGCATGGGAGCCGTCAGAGATAAACATACTAGTCCAGTGAGACAGGATCAGCCATTGAAGCTGCGACATGGCCAACTTTGGTTGTCCGCGCAATAAAGTTAAAGCGCTGGTCCACTCAGGTGAACGGACACCACACTACCATGCAGGAATGCATACACAACAATTTCTTTCCCTGGTCAACGGTCGCATGTCGAGATATCCTTCAGCAGTTGACTACGCCTTGCTGTTTGGATTTTTTGCTTATCTTGGGTTCTGGGCCTAAGAGAGCTTGCGCTGTCGAAGGTTCACTTACGTTCACAAGGTATCATCTGGCGACAGAGAATCCGTGTCCACTTTGAGTGCACACGCGGAGTTCTGTTTCTGCTATGCAGCAAAGCCAACTATGGCTGGTGGGCTTTGAGGGCTACAATGTAATGCTGCCCGCCTGGAATTACTTCCAGTCTCAAATCCGCTATTTTTTCTCCATACCTCTATGGGTTTGCCTCGTATACAATTGATGGTATAAACCTCTTTAGTCAAGTATTGAGTACAAGAAATAATCGTACTACGATCGTCTCTCCGTGATGTTGGCCAGCGATACTTAGGGTCCCACCTGCTTGAGTACTTATGGACAGCTGCAGTCAGGGCCATGTTTACCTTCGGCGCTCACTAGTGTGTACAAAGTATGTTTACAGATATTTATATTTCCATACCCCTCCAGAAACTGGAAGAAAATATATGTGAGCTCGTCAATGATATATACCACATTAACCCTACGTTAAACGCTAGGAATATGCTCCGGCGAAAATCGACAAAACATGTTACTTCGTTGCCTTTTAGCTGGCATCTATGACCAAAATACCCAGGCGAACCTCATCACGCAGGATGACTGTGCACATAATTAGAGCTACATTGTTCAGTGGCCCGTAAACGAGAGAAACAGAGACCACAATTGTCCGCATTTACAAGCCCCTCCGAAAGTGTACGCATGGTGAAAATGACTGAAAATTTAACAGTGACGTCGGTGGCTGTAAACCCGCTTTTATGCTACAACCTTGATGATCAACATAATTGCGCCTATGATGATCGACATAACAAGAAGTTGCACCGATGTTGTGTGGAGGTATGTATTCGGTGTTCGTATGCGTATTACTCATGCTGCGTCCAAAATGCATAAAATCAGAGCAAAACAATCATAACGTTGGACAGTTCTGCAAGGAACGAACAGCATTTGCCTTCTGTATAGTTAAATACCTTGTTTAGACATGTTCAGCACTATGCGCTGTGGTGATCCGCTTCCGGGGACAGAAAGTGTTGCTGGTGATAAATACGGGAACTTACCGTGAAAATAATCAGGACGGACGCTGTATAGCCATTACCCACCTTGCTATCCTTCAATACAACCCTTGGACATACAACTGGAGTCGATTTGGGTTTTCGGTAAATGTCTGTCCATGCACGATAAGTCGCTGAGATACAATCTTCTCGTGTGGCTAAAATAAGAACTTTGAACAAACCTACTCGATTGGGCTTAGAGAAATTCCATGCATACTGTGGTGTATATTTGTAAGACAGTTCCCGTAGTTGGACTGGAAATAGTTTGAAAATGCACTTCGTCATTTACGGATAAATCGGGGAAGCGGAAAGGAAGTGAAGCCGCAGAAGTATTTGGCCCGAATTCACCGAAATACGAAAGATGCTGTGTGCTGTAATGCTCAAATTTGAGCTGAACTAAACCGATTGCCATCTCAGGGATACCATGTTTGCAAACTTCAATTATGGTGCGCTCGTAACTAAATAAATAGTTCATTTTCAAATTTATAGAGACACATCAAATCAGGCATGCTTAAGGTTTACAGGCAGTTGGGTATCACGACGATACTTTGGGTTCAATCTTGCGTAGTGTAAACGGTCAAGGCACTATAAGTGCAGTGAAACGGTACATGAGGTCGGAGAGTAGCCTATCCTTGCACGTGTCGGGAAAATGTGGAAGTATGAGTCTAGTCGACTTGCCAGCATGTTGTTGTGGACATAGACTTTATTCAGTGGCCAGTCACATCCGCCAAGTCGCAGATTTGTTAAACACACATTTGTGGCTATTTATAGGGCGAACGCTTTCCAGGCGAAAACTCACCACGTCCTGTAGCCCTGCCGTAAAGCATTTGGTACACTAGGGTATAGTTGGCATAGCCGCTGGACAACTGCTTTCATATTCTGTTATTCGCAGTCAAATGGCTTCCAGTTTCCTATGCTGTCTGGACAGATAGTTTGATCCGGACCGCCATAATTGTTGAGGCCAGTTGAGGAAGAGAACATCACAAATGGTCGTCTTGTTGTGTGTCCAGGTGAGCAAAGTTTCAAACTTTCTGCTGTCTGGAGTTTCAGCTGTATTCTTTGCGTGAGTGTGAAGACCTGTCCAGCTCTCCATACGGGGCAACGGTTCTGGTGATGGCAATTGAGCATCTTTGGTATACAGCTATGCTCCATGTAGGTCCTTGTCGGTTATTACGTCCGTTTTGGGCGAAAACTGTTCCTCACTCCAATTCCAGCTCGCCAAGAAACTCTGGACCTCGGAGAAGAGGGAAGTAAGGGACCACCGTACCAGTGTCCAAATCGGATGGCTGCACGTGAATCTGCGATGAATGCAGGGTAACGACCAAACAGATTTCCATGCTACTAAGATAAATAAATAGGTATTTTCTAGACTGGCTAGAGGCTGTGCCCTTAAGCGATCACATCAATGTTTACTGTCCTTCCATAATGAAACCTTTCTTAACTCTCTTCTGTAGATCAAACATAACTCATGCGGTCTGCCCAAAGCTGTTCCTTAGCCTCTCTATTTTAGACGTTCATTTATTCATTACTCGCTCCTTGCTTGATGCACAGCCGTCACTTACTCGACTGTGACAGCTTGCTAATTGTAGTTCAGCCCTCTCACCGGCTTCTCCCTCCTCAGGCTTCCCTACTTCTATTACATTAGCAGCACGGCATGATTTCATCATCTGCGCGTCGCCGCGTCTTCGCCTTTTATGCTCTGAACTATTTATCAACCATATCGTATGCTTGCGCTTCATCCGTTCGCTGTCCTCTCTCCATAAAACCATTCTGAACTCCGTTTTGTGGAGCAAACATAACTCATGTGGCCTGCGCACAGTTGCTCCATTGCCTCTCCCTTCTAAACTCCATTTATCCGTTGCTTGCTGCAACGTCTGTGACGCCTGCTCATGTAGGATTCCAGATCTTTCACAGGCATTTTCCAGCCCAGTCTACCGTAGCACTAAAATCTTAGCACCATAACAGGACTCAGTATCTGCGCGCCTCTGACTCATATGCTGCGATGTCCTCAGCATGCATGCACTCCGACTGTTTGATGTCCTTCCATATAGACTCTTCAGCTTTCTCTAGCACACCTTCTAACTCTCCAAGTCGGTGCTCAGCGGCTCCTTAGCCTCTCTTTTCTAGACGTCCTCATATCTCTTAGTTGTTGTAACGTCTTCGACTTTTTCACCTGTAAGCGTCCAGCTATTAGACTAGCTTTCCCAGCCTCTTTCCAGTAGTAGCATCCCAGCACCATAGCATGAATTGTGAACTTATACACCGCCGTGGTTCAGCATTATATGATACGACTCCCTCAATCAACTCACTGTGCACTTGCATACTTCTTGTCTGTTGTCCTTTCTTTATTCGACCTTCTTAGCTCTCGTCTGGCGACCTTCTTTACCTCATCCGGTCAATGCACAGCTGCTCCTTGCTAGATGCACAGCTGTCACTCGTCTGTGACAGCTAATTACTTGTAGTTCAGCCCTCACCGGCTTCTCCCCGCTCAGGCTTCCCTACTTTTATTACATTAGCACCACGGCATGATTTCATCATCTGCGCGTCGCCACGTTTTCGCCTTTTATGCTCTGAACTATTTATCAACCATATCGTATGCTTGCGCTTCATCCGTTCGCTGTCCTCTCTCCATAAAACCTTTCTTAACTCTCTTCTGTGGATCAAACATCACCCATGTGGCCTGCGCACAGTTGCTCTATTGCCACTCCCTTCTAAACTCCATTTATCCGTTGCATGCTGCAACGTCTGTGACGCCTGCTCATGTAGGATTCCAGATCTTTCACAGGCATTTTCCAGCCCAGTCTACCGTAGCACTAAAATCTTAGCACCATAACAGGACTCAGTATCTGCGCGCCTCTGACTCATATGCTGCGATGTCCTCAGCAGACTTAATGTATGCATGCACTCCGACTGTTTGATGTCCTTCCATATAAACTTTTCAGCTTTCTCTAGCACACCTTCTAACTCTCCAAGTCGGTGCTCAGCGGCTCCTTAGCCTCTCTTTTCTAGACGTCCTCATATCTCTTAGTTGTTGTAACGTCTTCGACTTTTTCACCTGTAAGCGTCCAGCTATTGGACTAGCTTTCCCAGCCTCTTTCCAGTAGTAGCATCCCAGCACCATAGCATGAATTGTGAACTTATACACCGCCGTGGTTCAGCAATATATGATATGACTCTCTCAATCTACTCACTGTACACTTGCATTCTTCCTGTCCACTGTTCTTCTTTATTCGACCTTCTTTGCTCTTGTCTGGCGACCTTCTTTACCTCATTCGGTCAATGCACAGCTGTCACTCGTCTGTGACACCTAATTAATAGTAGTTCAGCATTCTCTCTGTCTTCTCCCGGCTCATTCTTTCCTACTTTTATTACTTTAGCACCACTGCATATCTTATCATATGCGCATCGCTGCGTCTTTGCCTATTTTTGCTCTAATCTATTTAAGAGCCTTACCGTATGCCTGGCATTCATCTGTTTGTTGTCGTTTCTTCATGAAGCCTTTGTTTGCTGTCTTCTGTCGTGCAGGCATCTCCATGTATTCAGTGCAAGCCGCTGTTTTGCTTCACCCTTCTTACTGTTCATTTATCCCCTACTTGCTGTATTGTCTTAGCTCTTATTACCTGCAGTCATCCGACTCTCGGGCTAGCATTCTCTGGCACTATCCAGCTTGGTACCATTATCTTAGCACCATAGCTGCTGCGGTTAGGCCTCACTGCTCTGATACTCCAAGCAACCTTACTCTACGCTTGCATTTCGGCTATTCCCTGCCCTTCCGTCAATTAATGTTTCTTAGCCTCTTAGTTCTTCCCTCCTCTCACTTGGTCAGCACACAGACGCCCGTTAGCTTTACATTTCTAGGTGTTCATTTCTCACCATTTTCGTAGTACTCTAGTATGACTTGTTTCTCTGCGCGACGCTACATATACATTTGTTCCGGACGTTCGCTTTCCTTTAACTGATCTTTAATACTTCACTTCTATCGATCAATCCTTTTTCATCTAGTAATCTGGGTCCGTTTTTGCAGCAAAGGTTTCGACACTTACCTTTGTAGTAGGTTAGCTTTCATAGGCTTTTCCTATTTCAATAGGCCATAGCACTATACTCCTAGTACCCTCGTGTCGTCTTTCTGTCTTGATCACCCGATAATTTTTATTCAGCGCTTGATTCCTATCTATCCGCTGACTTACCATCTCTTTCGATGTAGGCTGGCCACCAGCCGTCTATCCACCGTTCAAACGCCGCTGGTCCCTGAACTCTGCTTTCTATCTTTCCACGCAATAGTCGCATCATAGTAAACTGATACTGCGTCTCTGCTTCATGGCGCAACGCTCTGTATTCCTTGTAGATAGTAGCAAACAACTTATAGGGCCACTGCTTTCGAAAAAACATTCAAAAGACACTTTCAGCACAATCATTGCTGCACATTGTACATCATTTGTCTTCACTCTAAATGTTATAACATAGGAGTTTAAGAATGTTTGTTTCCACGCCTGTACGTTGCGGCCTTGGTTGTCTCTCACCTTCCCTTTTCTCCGAGGTTCGGAACTTCCTGGGGATCTGGGATTGGACCGAGAAACCGCTTTTGTCCGGGACAGAACAACCAATAAGGACCTATGGAGCACATGGCAGTACAACAAACGGACACAACTGCACTCATTACCATGACCGTTGTCCAATTATGATAACTGGACTCGATAACTTCACACTCCTGAAAAATCCAGACGCAAGTAATTGACGTTTCGCCCACCTGGATACCCACAAAGAGGATTCTTCTTGAAGCCCCCATCCTCGATTCGCCTCAGCCATTATGGCGGCCTTGCCCAAGATACCTGCCCAAATAACAGAGAAAATTGAAGGTCATTTGACTGCGGATATCTGAGGGTGAAATCAGTCGGAAACCTGGTCTGCCAGTTATATATTAGTGCACCAACAAATTTCTGTCAGTGTTCCAGGACGTGGTGGGTTTTCGCCTGGCAAGCGTTCTCCCTATAAAAAGCCACAAATGTCCGCATAACAACACTGCAACGTGGCGGATGTGACTCGCCACTGAATAAAGTCACTGCCCAGAACTACCTACTGGCAAGTCGACCAGAATCATTATTCAATATTGCCCTGACACTTTCAATACTAATTTACACCATGCCTATATGTATCGTTTTCATTACACATGTAGTGCCCTGACTGTTTACACTACACACTCTAGAATTCAACGTTTCGTCAGTCATTGATGACTCTATCCCTCATGACTACTTACACAATTTCCGCAGCCTGTACAACCTTCGGCTTACTGCCGACTACACTCATAGCAACGTGTTTGTTGCGAAGCAATATTGCATGTAAATATTGATCATGCCTTACTTGGTGTGTCTCGACAAATTCGAGAATAAACTATTTATTTATTTTATAGTACTCATTAGTAGCAGGATTTTAGTTGTAAATCGGATAAGGCTTTCATCCCAACAGTTTACAAGCTACATAGCAGAGCTTAGTCCGGAGAAGCGCCAGACGCGTTTCGCCCTATTGTGGCTCGTCAGTGGCGCGCATTCCCTCGGTCCTCTAAGGAGGATCGAACCCATGACCGCTAAAGGCAGATGCCAACTAGCCAGCAGCTTAAGCCACTGAGCCATGGGGGACGTTGGCTGAGCTACATAATTTGCAAACTAGCTGGGATATAGCACCACCTATCTACCGCCGTCACTGATAGTGGTTAGCCTGCAAGGTGATGACGTCCTCTCTCTAGACGCTAAATCCATAGCAGTTGAAACTAGGAGAGGCTTTTGATTTTATAGTACTCATGGTAGGAAAATGTGAACATATGTTCCTCGTTGGCAATTACGAAGGCGTTGGCATTGTTTGGGGTACAGCTGATGCAGTCACTCCACAGTCTGTGTGTACTTGGCTGAAGT